AAAACTCAACACACACACATTCACACCCCATTTCATAATGTCAGATGTCCAGTTAGTATTCAGTTCACCAATATTTCCTAAATTATCTCGTTTGTTTTTTTACTAACTGTTGGCTTGTTCAAAGTAGAATCTAAATTTCTTTTAATCCATAATTCTTCTATAGAAAATATTCTTTAATACAATTTGAATTTTGCTTGTGTTTTAAAGATGGTAGAGATTTATTGTGTTTATAACAGGAGGAGAGAAGGAATGAGACCAAGTATAGGTGATTGGAGCAGTAGATGATACAGGGAGAGATGATGGATGGGGTCCTTGCATGAATGGTGTCCTCGGAAAGGAGAATGATATGCATTTCTTCTAGTTTGACAGGTTTCTGTGTTGTTTTTTTTCCAAATCAAAAAAAAAAAAAGTGAAGGTGGAGGATCATACCTCTTTGACAAATAGGAAGGAAAGAAGTAACCATGGACTGATGTAGATAAGTTTGGAATAGAGAAAAGGTCAGTGGAAGAATACTGTTTTCTATAAAGTAAGAGTTTATATGGGATAGAGGATGCTGGAGAGAAGGGTACAGAAACAACTTTTTAGAGAATGAAAAAGGAACTTGTGTAGAAACATGTTTATAGGAACGGTGTACATTCAGTATGGTAGTAAATCGAGTGTCATGGCAAGTAAAAGGAACAGCTGAAAACAATGTAGTGTTTATAGCTCAACTGTTGCTAACTTAGGGTGTATTGTGGCCTTATGATGGCAGCCTTCACCTATGCCCATTCTGGGAAGGGCACAGATTTCTGGTTGAAGCAAAATGAGGATACTGTGGTTTTTGGTTTTTGTTAGTAAATTTCTAAGACAAGCATCCTGGTTTGTTTTACAGCAAACCAAAAAGAAACTGTTAACTCAGTCTCTTTTTCTTCTTGAGACCTTCAGTGCTTCAGTGTTTTCAAATAATATTAGAACTCTAGAAATCTTTTAAAAACATCTCCAGCAATTTAGGGATGGCCATATATCATTCAAATTAGGAAGGTTAATGAAGTCTTCGCCTGTTTAGTGCAGAGGAGAAAGACATCCTAATATAGTTGGATATGAGCATTTAAAGCTATTTTATTATAAAAAGTGGAATTGGTGGAAAATCTGAGAAAAGAGTTTTCTTCTGTCACGTGTTTCTATTTTTAGAAAATAGAACTAGAAGTACTTCAATTTTTATTTTGAAATTTTTATTTTGAAATAATTACAGATACACAATGAAAGAATAAACCAAATAAAATAAAGAACTTTCGTATGTTTTTCCAGATTCACCAGTCAGTAGCATTTTGCCACAATTGCTTTATCATTCTATAATCAATAAATGTATGAATATACACATTATTTCCCTAGCTAATTTTGTTTTATCTTTGTGGTAATAATTTAAGACATCCTCATATGTGTTACTTATAGTGTCAACAGCCATTGAAAATATATATTCCTAGATTTATTTCCCCATCTTATCTATGAAACCCTCTTGCCAGCATTAATTTTCTTATCTTTCCATGTACTTTAAACATCATCATATAATTTAGTGCTTAATGAGATAATGAGATATTTTATTATATGTACTCCCATTCTTCAGATGGTTAAATTTCTATCACAAAAACATAGTGAAGCCTGAACTTTGTCTTGGACTTCTTGACTCTGGGGGGAGAAGGGGGGTGTTGGGGGAGGGGCTAGAAGAATGATAGTAAATATCAGCCTACAGTGTAGTACATAGAGGTGTAAAGTGTAGACTAACAGACTTTTGTAAGTGGAAGGGAGCTTAGATCCCAGGTATTGGTACAATGCTTTGATGGTACAGGTGAGAATATTGAAGTTTGAAGGAATTAAATGAGTTAACTCTTTGGATCGAGCTAGATTAGTGCCTTAGTCTTCTGCCCCAGTCCATGCTCTTTTTGGCTTCCTTATCTTTTTTACTTGACTCTCCAGATAAATAGCAGAATTCTCCAGAGGGAGGATATATCTAAATACTGTTAAGGCATCAGCTCTCAAGCTTTTTGCCCTCAAGACCAGTTTTCACGCTTAAAAATTAGGAAACTTCCGAGTATGTTCTCTTGTGGTGATGGCATACATAGTCAAGGTTTATCAAATTATACACTTTAACTATGTGGAGCTTATTGTATGTTTGGTGTACCTCAGTAAAGCTATTTCTAAAATTATTAAGGACCCCAAAGAACCTTTTTTTATATAATGGGTTTTATCTATCAATATTTATAAATTGGATATTAAAATGGAGACTTTAGAAACATTTTTTTAAAACAGCAACAATAAATGTAAATTTATATTAATTATAATTTATATTAAAATATATAATGATATGTTAACATTAACACCCTGCCCAAGGGTTAACATTTTTAATGAGTGTACTTTTTAAAAAAAGAATGTTCAGTAAGAAGGCTGGTGGTATATCTAAATTTCTGGTGAACTGTCTGGTTTAATAGAAGACAGCTGCATTCAGTCTGTCACAGTATGTTGTTTGAGTTGAACTATAAGAAGAAAATCCATCTCATGTATACATATGTAAGTTAAGATAAAGGATATTTTGATAGTTTTTTCCTCAGGTAACTGGATATTCTTTGATTTGACAGCATAATTGGAGAAGTGGTCATTTCTTAAAGGTTACTTGCATTGTAGAATCTGAAACCATATCAATGAACTTTTTTTTATTAAGATCTATTGGTCTGTGTTGCAGTTTGAATGGCTCTTATCTGATACAATTATTCTGGCTTTGATATATAGAGATACAGATATTACTAGATTAATTGACACTTTAAATATCTAGCTATTTGCCTTTTCTGTAAAATGCTTCCAATTTCATAGAAATAGAAACTGGCCTTTTTTTCCCCCCCATTCTACATTTATAGGAGAACCAAAGTGTCTAGGGTTTTTTCCATTGTATTAAGTAAATTACTTCTTATTTTAAATTTCATTTTTCATTCTTTGTCTGAAATAGACTCTCTAAGTAGATTGCAGTTATGATTTAAAAAACAAAACAAAACACATTTATTCTGAAGGCTGTTGTTCCTGCAAGGGAGTTTTCCTGCTTATACTTTGGAGTTTTAAGAAGGAAATCTAGGTCAGTAACACTGAATGAAAATGTGGGAGAGAGCCTGTGTCAAAAATGCTCATTATTAACACTGTTGGCCAGAGGCTATTCTGAACATTGCTTCCAGGCTGGGCTGCCTCACTAGCACAGAGGGGAGATTACCAGAGGTGCTTATTCTTCTCCAGAATGTGTGGGCAAAATGTACCCACTTCACTGATTAACAACTGCTTTATTTCCCAAAGGGTAAGAAATTTAATCAGAATCACAGCCTTTTAAAGTTTATTTTATTTTATTTTATTTTTTATTTTATTTATTTATTTATTTTTTTAAACACATTTATTTATTTGGCTGTGCTAGGTCTTAGCTGTGGCATGTGGGATCTAGTTCCCTGGTCAGGGATTGAACCCAGGCCCCTTGCATTGGATGTGCAGCCTTAACCACTGGACCACCAGGGAAATCCCTAAAGTTTATTTTAGAAATGATAGACTGTTGCTTAAATGCTTCTTGGGTTTCTTATGCTTTTCATATTAAATATAAATCGCTTTCCAAGAAGGTTGATGTATAGTATGAATTTGTTAAATCATCCAGTCTAGAATAATGACCCTTGTGGTAATTTTGATACCACCTTATTTTTTGAGCACAATTCTGTGCCATGCACTGAGCTAAGCATTATGAAGAAATAAAGTGATAAAAGCATACTTTTTACTTTTTAAAGAACACATATTAATGATTTGGAGAAATAAGATTAACATGTTAAATAATGGATTTTTAAAATGATGAATATAGAATATTTTAAAAGTTGGTTTTTTAAAAATAAAGACTAATAAAAAAATATGTGGTTAAGGGCTAAATTGTTTGCTAGGAACAAAAACAAATGTTGAAAGAGCTAAGAAAAGGAAAATGAGCATTAAAATCTGAAGAGAGGCTCTGTGGAAGCTCTGACTTGGTCCTGGCCTTGGGATGTTGGTACAAGAGGGAGCATTTCAGACAGGTGGATCACATGAGCAAAGGCATTGGGGCTAGAAGCACAGGCTTCGGCAGGGGCCCTGAGGGGACTAACCTGCTTTCCTGTTGGAGTCACAGGAAATAAGCCTGGCATGGGTTCATTTCAGTGGATGACTGAACGGTATTAGATTAGCACCCAACACTTTCATTCTTATTCTGTGGGAAGCATTTGTTAAAACCCTAAGCAGATTGACTTTATTAGCTTTGAAATAAGAGATGGTAGATGCACCTTCTCTAAGTAGGCCATAATTCAAAGATTGAAATGCTAATACTTTCCTGTGTAATGTAAAATTATTCTTTTATTAGTGTAATTCTGTACCTGAACAAGTATCCTTAGAGGTCATTATTGAGCCAGGGAGAAATAAAAAGGCTGTCCTTTGCGTACACGGTTAGCTTTCAGCAGAGCAGAGCCTGGCACTTAATCTATACTGGTACTCAGCCCTTTGCTTCCTTGCTTGCTTGCTTGTTTACTGTCTCCCTCCCTCTATTCCTCCTATCCCTTCTGTGGTTTAAACACCTTTGCAGATTTGCTAGAATATTTACTAATAGTTAAGTGGGGGAAAGAAAAACTATTCTCGAAGACAGCCGAAGAGCCAAGTTTTGAGACTATTGCTTACAATCTGTTGAGTCAGTTACAAATGGAGTGCTATTGTCAACCTCAAGGCATCAGAAAAATCTTGTTTTCTCTTATCATCTTCCGGTTGATTTCTCCTTAATAATTCAGAATGGGGCCGTGCTATTTATTACATTTGTGTTTTCTTTATTTGAGAACTAAGCTAAATTAATTCTATAAAATCTTACGTATGTCTACATGAAAACCTGTACTTGAATGTTCATAGCAGTTTTATTTCAAAAGACAGAAATAGAAACGATCAAATGTTAACAGTGGTACCTTATAACTTTCGTTTCCTGTTTCTGTTTGAAGGGTTTCCAACTGAATTCCTTGACGAGAAGGTAGCCTACCAGGGATTTCAGAACAGCCAGAACTGGCCAGAAAATACAAACTTTTGCTTTGAACCTGAGCACGTGGTAAATCCTATCCAGACTGGTAAGTGCAACACTTGCTTGTGACCGCTGAATGTGATAACTTAAACATGAAGAGCCTCCAGTCACCACTCAGATAAAACATTTCAGCCTAAATATTGCTCGTAAAGCACAACCAAGGTATAATTATTCCCTCTGAACATTTAGTTGACCTTTCTCCTCTCTATTTATCCTTTCCTCTGAGGCAAGTGCCCCTTTGTTCTCTCCCCTTCAAAACCTGTTTTGACTAAATGAACGGAAATTCATCTTCATTGAGGACTAAACGATCAGTTGTACCCTAGAACTTTAATTCTTCTGTAGAGAATTATAGTAATAAGGACACCATTTGTGGAATGCCTGTTTTGTTCCAGGCACAGTGCTAGAGCCTCAATATATGTTCGAACTCTCTACATTTATTACCTAACTCTGCCAAATATATATTATCTTCATTTGACAAAAGACAAAATGAAAAGTTATACCCAGTTTCTATAAAATTCAAACTAATTTATATAGAGAAAAAAAGCTGTCATTGCCTAGAGCTAGAAGTGGCAGGAGGGGTGGGCTGCATAAAGACCTCAAAGCAGTGGCATTGATACCTCCATGTCAGAGCAATCAAATTGAGAACTAAAGGTATTTGTTTCCACTTATACTATATGGTTTCTTTTTTGTTGTCTAACTTATAAGGTGCTCATAACAGATTCCAAATGATCTAGTACTTGATGTTCTGTACCACTCTCCAGTCATTGGTTACCCTGGATATATGTAATTTTAAAAGAAGCTTTATTGAGATATTGGAGAAGGAAATGGCAACCCACTCCAGTATTCATGCCTGGAAAATCCCGTGGACCGAGCGGCCTGGTAGGCTACAGTCCATGGGGTCGCAAAAATTCGGACACGACTGAGCGACTTCTCTTCTTTTTTATTGAGATATAATTCACATACCATACAATTCACCCATTCAAAGTATACAATTAAGTGGATTTTAGTATATTTATATATATGTATAGCCATCACAAGAATCCATTTTAGAATTATCACCCCCTAAAGAAACTCAGTACTTCTTAGATCTCACTCCCTACCTCCTTATCCACCCTAGCCCTAAGCCACCACTAACTTACTTTATGTCTCTGTATATTTACCTGTGAAGCTGTGAGTGGGAGATTCCCTTCCACTAAGGGGAGGGAATGTAGAAAAAGAAAGGTCTTCATCTCTCCTCCATCTTTAGTTCTCAGTTTAAATATTTGTCAAGTGAAGACCTTTCTTGACTTGAACTAAAGTATATCCATCTATTAAATGTTTTCAACCCTTATTTTAATACATCTTAGGATTTTTAGAGTGCTCAGGGTCTGCATATCATACACACCCAGTAAAATATATTGGCCACCTGATGCGAAGAGCCGAGTCATTGGAGAAGACCCTGATGCCCAGAAAGATGGAGGGCAAGAGGAGAAGGGGGCAACAGGGGATGAGATAATTGGATGATATCACCAATTCAATGGGCATGAGTTTGAGCAAGCTCTGAGAAATAGTGAAGGAATGGGATGGTGTGCTGCAATTCATGGGGTCGCAAAGAGTCGGACATGACTGAGCAACTGAAAAACAACAAAAATAGTAATGAATAAATGACAGAATTTCATAGAAATCTTTGATTTTTACATGTGATTTGGCAGTCTTCCTCTCCTAATATGCAAACCATACAACATTTATTTTTGTTGCTAGTTTAAGGCCTAGGCTTTCAGTGCAGCCGCCTCTGACAGTAGTAGTACAGAATTAGCATTCACTGAGAATAGAAATGCATGTTCTTAGGTCCTGGCAATCTTTTAAGGCTTTAAAAGATTCAGATGTATGTTGCGTTTTGAGATGGCCTCCTTAGAGAGCAGGATTCTTGCTTGGCCTGAGTGGCTTTGCTCTTTTTTTGTAAGAAGGTAGAGTTTATCTGATGTTTTTAGTGCTTTTCCTCATGCCAGCTCCTGAGTATAGAGTTCATTCTCTTCAGATGCCAGCTGTTCACCTTGTCTCATTCAGACAGCTTTTGTTTTTGTTTTGTTTTTTTTTTTTCTTTTTTTCAGACAGCTTTTGAAATGCAGTTTTCTTCATGATGTTCACAGGAGGTGAAAATGTCCTTTTTACTTTTTTTTTTAATAACCTAAAATGAATGTCTGCTCTGTAAATACATACTGAAAGTTTAGTTTTATTTGTACTCTCACCTCCTAGTATAGACTTAAGCGTGAATTTTACTTTCAGTTTTGTGTATTTGTTGCCTGTCAGATTTAGATAATCAAATACTAGAGAATATGAGATTTTTGTATTTTTAACTGTGAAAATGAATTAGTGAATATTTGATTCCCTGGCACATTTAGTCACATATTATCTTATTTAACACACTGTTGACAATACACAGTATTCAATAATATTGAATATTCATTCAATAATAAATGCTAATCTTTCTAGTTATGTTCTGGAAATGAGTTCTATTTATTTATTTATTTTTTTAATTTTTTTTTGGAAATGAGTTTTAAATTCCTTCTTTATTCCAGATCCCTTTAAGATGCACCATGATGACGGCCTAGAAGATTTGCTCTTTCTCTCCAGTGGAACAACCAATACTTCAGCATTTGTAGAACAAAATGATTCCCTGAAAGATAGTTATGGTATGATTTCTCTAAGTGGATTTATTTCTTAACTGCAAACAGTTAATGTGGCATTTCATTCATCACATTTGAAGTGAACCACTAGGGAACCACTCTGACTGTCGCAAGGCTGTTTCTAAATTGGGCTTCCCTGGTGGCTCAGTAAGTAAAGAATCTGCCTGCAGTGCGGGAGATCCAGGTCCAATCCCTGGGTCAGGAAGATCCACTGGAGAAGGAAATGGCAACCCACTCCAGTATTCTTGCCAGGAAAATTCCATGGGCAGAGTTTTAGTCATAGAGAATTCACAGTTGGGCTGCTCAGGGGCTGCTCACCTCCTCTTATGGGAGAATCTTGAATCCTGTATCCTAGGGCCAGGTTCTGTCTCCACATTTTATTAGCTCATGGCCTTATTAAGCAAGTATGTCCTCCCTAAAGTTTGATTTCTTTATAAAATGGAGCCACCATTAGTTCTTACCTTAAAGATGTGGTGATGATTAAATAAAATTATGTAAAAGTATACCACATAGTGTCTGGTACATAGTAAAACGTTAAACAGATCTTAGTTATCAATTAGTAGTATCTTCATTCCTTGTTTTATATAGCTTAACATGAATGTGACCAAGGTCCTGTAGGGCAGGCAAAACTTTACTTCTACTCATCTTTGGTGTTCAGTTGAGTTTAATAAAAAGATTTATCCAAAAAAAGGCAAATAATTTGTTCTTCCCTGGTGGCTCAGATGGTAAAGAATACGCCTGCAATGTGGGAGAGCTGAGTTCAATCCCTGGCTTGGGAGGATCCCCTGGAGGAGGGCATGGCAACCCACTCCAGTATTCTTGTCTGGAGAATCCCCATGGACAGACAAGCATGCAGCATACATCACATGGGAAGAAAGCAACTCAAAGTGGTAGCTTAGAAATTCAGTTTGTGTAACATCCTCAAGAAAGAGTAATAAACTTATAGAGAAGTGACAGGACAAATGAAGCAGTTTTACACTTCCAAGAGTCATACCGTGGGAGGGTAAATACATGGGAGGAAACAAATGGAGTCAGGTTTGTTGGCAGATTCCTCTGGTGCCCTCTCTGGCCTGATAAGCATCTCTTGCCAGTGAAAGGAAAATTTATATCCTACCTTTAGTCAGAAAGGTGGTAGCTTTTTCTGGGTTTGCTGTTTGCTTGATTGCCTTCAGCTCAAAATTTTTATGTCAAAGTGGTGTATCTGGGGGTGACATGTTCTGGTTTCCTTCAGTACCCATCATCAGTAAGTCCCACTTCAAATTATGTTAATAATTTTGTTTTTTGTAAAGATCCTGACTAGTAGTAATATGTCTCACTTGTGCTTTCCTGTGGCCTGATGATCTCGTGGAAGAAGGATGTTAAATAAATTGACTTTGATGCTGTTGTCTAATCTCCTGAGTTGATTTTGGCTTTGACTCCTGGTTTTTTGTTTTTTTCCAGCTCACTAGCTAGGGAGTCACTTAGTTGCAGTGACTTTTCTCTTTGCAGCATCTTTATTCTCTTCCTTTATTCTCTCTCTGCTTTATCCCAATGAATGCCCCATCACTTCATACCTAGAGTATCTCAGTAGTCACCTGTCAGAATCCTGCTGCCTTTTAAAATTATTTCTGAATATACCTGACCACTCTGACTTCTTGTTCTCTATTCATATCTCATTTTCATGACTAATACCTTAAGACAGCACCCCCCCTGTCCTTTGGGGTTTTTTGCTCTTGATTTATCTGGTTTTCCAGCTCCTCCTCCTGTTGTTTGTTCTAATCTTGTTTTACCTCTCTGGTTTACAAGACCTGTTTAAATCAGACTAATCTCATAGTCCCAGAAGCATTCCTGTGCTTTTGGCATCTTCATCCTTTGCTTTGCTCAGTGCTCAATTTCCATTCCTGAAATTGACTTCTTTCTCCTCTCTTCTTACTCTTGTTTCTCCTCTGAAACCTTCTGTGACTGTTCTGGTCTTCTTCATGGTTGTTTGTAAACTCTAATAACATTTAGTCCATACAACACAGTTTTCCTTGTTTGATACATGTGTCTCTTGCCTCTCTATTGTAATCCTGATGGCAAGGACCCAGTGATATTAAATCCCATGTGGTATTATGTCTGGCAGAGGACAGCATAATAATAATACTTTAAATCTGTCTAGTTCTTAATAATTTAAAAATCGTTTTCACAAAATTGTAATTTTTGAATCTTTGCAAAACACTGTAGAAGGTGGCCAGTCAATGTTGATTAATGGTGTGACATGACACCCTAACAATTAGCCAAACCTGACAAACGTCAGCAATTTTTACTTTTAAACTTTCTTGGTTTCTCATTGTTCCTTTTGACCTATGTCTTGATGGCAGCATATAAACTGATTTTAAATATCAAATGTATTTTTTCCTCAATGTTGACTGAGTTTCAAAAATGGATTTCTGTTTTACCCTTAGGTGTGTTACCCTGCGACACACTCGCTTCTGCAGCTGTAGTTGCTCAAGGGTGGTCTGCGGAAGCCCCAGACCCTGCATGCTTGGGATCCTTCGATTCCCCCGCGGCCGTTCCGCAGCCTCTGCGGCCCACAGCAGGTACGTTATTAGACTCCTTCTCTGCACCTAATAGTTACAGTATCAGTAATCATCGTATCGTTTTTAGCCTTCTGCTTGCAGTATTGATAAAATTTTCACAACTGTCACAGATGTTTTTAAACTTTTGAACTTTTTAAACTTTTAAATGATTTAAAGTACTGATTTCACAGCTGGAGGAATTAAGTTGTAGTTGAAATACAATTAGGGTTAGAGGACACAGACAGTCCGTGTAATTCAGTGCAGATTTAGAACTCTGAGGTAGGGGGTTTCTTGATGTCCACATGTTCCCTTTCTGCCACTAATTGTGTACCTGTGTTGGTGTGTGTTTTTTGGCTTTGGGGGTTTGTTGACCTGTGTTTTTTTTTCTCTCCTTTGCCTTTCCTCCTCCACTATATGTTATGCCAATGTTTTATTCTTCTAAATATTGAAACTGTTGAAGAGTAGCAACAAATGCATTAACTGGACAGCTTTTTAGTTATGTTTAGGACGTTATGGTCAAAAAAGCCAGATCTCTCATGCTCTAAAAAAAGTAAGTTTTGAGTGAAGAGCTATGAGCAGGCAATGATGGATCCTAAGTGTCCAACTAAGTGTCCAACTTGCTTCCATTAGAGCCAGCTGAGAAAATAGAAATGGCATCAGGAGAAGAGAGAGCGCCAGCAGAAGCATTGGAGATGATGATGAAACTGCAGGCTACTGACATGGCGCCATCTCGAGAAGCAGAGATGGTCCTGGCTAAAGATGTGGTGCCAGCCACAGAGACAGAGGTGGCATTGGCTAAAGACATGGAATTACCTACCAAACCAGATGAGGCGCTGGTCAAGGACATGGAATCATCCATCGAATCAGATATGGCCTTACTCAAGGATGTGGTACTGCCCGTCCAAACAGAGGAAACTGCAGTTAAGGATGTTGTATTGCCCACAGAAGCAGATGTGTCTTTGGACGAGGACATGTTACTGTCCACAGAAACAGAGGCATCCGCAGCCCAGGACGTGCTACTGTTCAAAGAAACAGAGAGCACACCACCTATTAGAATGGATTTGGCCCCAGCTGAGGGCACAGTCCCACCTACAGACCAAGAGATGGCCCCAGTCAAGGGTGTAGCATCACTCTCAGAGGTAGAGGCGCCCCTGGATGAGGACATTGTGTCATCCACAGAAATACCCTCAGCCAAAGAGGTAGCCCTGTCCTCAGAAACAGAGGTGGCCCTGATCAGGGAAATGAGAGCACCCCCAGAAACAGAGGCAGTTCTAGACAAGGACATGGCTGCACCTCCAGAAACAGAAGTCATCATGCCAGTCAAAGACATGGCTCCACCCCCAGGAATAGAGATGACCCTGGCCAAGGACGTGGCTCCATGTCAAGAAATAGAGGTGACCCTGGGCAAGGATACAGTTTCACCTCCAGAAACAGAGATGGCCCGGGACAGGAATGTGTCTCTGCCCCCGGAAACAGAGGTCACCGTGGCAAAGGATGTTGCTCAGCCCCCTGAGACGGAGATGAACCTGGCCAACAGTGCGGCTCTGGCCAAATTCTCAGCAGCAGAGGTGGTGCCAGTTCCCGTTAAGGACTTGGAAACTGCATGGACCCAGGAAGCAACAAGTGAGGATTCCCAGTTAAAACCTCTCCAGGATGAGGGACAGTCAGCTGTACCTGTCAGTCAGACTTCACCAGGTATGGGCTTATGTTTACTTGCAATATTTCTGTCCATGTAGTCTCCAGAAGGGTAACAGACAGGCGTCATGCTAGGTAAAATGAAGACAGTCCCACTGTACTTTGCAAGTCTACACACATTCCTGCTCCCCTAGACAGTTTTTTCTCACCTTCACCCTCCTCCAGCCGCCAGCCCCTTCTCCATCCTTATTCTCGCTCATCTTCCTGTTTTCCTTGTAGATAATTGAAGATTAAAGTAATTAAAGAGAACTTTCACAAAACTCCACTTGCTCATGTATCTTACTACCTGCTTCTTTATCTTAGACTCTGCCTTCCCTCTTGTTGCCATCAGCAAATGGTCCTTGCTCCTAGTCATCAGGGCCAGCATCTTTGTCTTAAACTAAATCCCACCTTGTCTCCTTATGCACATTGCCCTGGCCATTCTCTCTCTTCCTGCCTCTCACCAATTTCCGCCGCTCCCCCCGCCCACCCCACTTTATATTGAATCTTTCCCACCTACATAAAAACAGTTGTTATTTTTCCCTTGTGTAAAAAAGCAACAACAAAAAAACCCAACCATCCCAATCCCCCTCGCCCTCCCCCTTCAAACTACCACTCCAGTTCTCTTCTGCCCTCATAGAGGCATCCCTCATTCCTCAAAAACTGTTCCCATTTCCAGTTTCTGCCAGGTGGAGAGGTAGCTGAATCAGTGCTTTTCTGAAATCTTTGTGGTTTTGACTTTTACCTTTAGAAGCAATCATGGCCATGGGCCAAAAGCACAGCTTGCCAACAGATGAGGATTCTGTGTTAGAAGAACTAGAGCAAAAGAAACCATCCAGTCAAACTTCTGAGCTTGCTTCAGAGACTTCAGGTAAGTCAGGAAACAAAGTGGCCTCTTCGAAACCACTTAAACTGGGAAAGATGGGAAGGTGTTAGAAGACATTGTTCCTGGTTATAAGGTGATAGTCATCAGGACCACTTACGAAGCCATCTCTCTTTCTTAACCAGATTTTGTGTTGATTAGGCAGAGAGTCATCTTGTTAGATATTTTAAAGTTATCATTGCATCAACCTAAGACACGTCATCCAAGACAGCCATTTCTGTTATATCCTGTGTCACCTTAGGCAGGTTATTTAGTTTCCTTATATCCAGTTAACTCAGTTCTAAGATGAATGAATTGGTCACATGTTCTGTCACTCCTTGTTAGTTACAGTTCGCTCCGTGGCCCAGCAGCTTCAGCCATTACCTAGGAGCTTATTAGAAATGTAGGATTGTCAGCTCCTCCTCAGGCCTTCAGTCATAACATGCATTTTAACAAGTTTCCAGATAATTCTTAAATACATTAAAGGAGCCTAAAATACTTGCTAACCTGAAAGTTGGATTATTCAGTGAGCTTCACACAGTTTTGATGCTAAGCCAGAAGCATGTACACGTGATTATCAACTTTATCAACTTCATGATTCTTTGTCTATTATTCTGTGACTGTGGTTAGAACATGCACTTGGGGGCAGGGTCCAAGACTTAGTTCACTTGGAATCTCTGCTGCTTTGAACTGTCTAGCACCAAGTAAATAAATATATGACTTTTAAAATGTTATTTTAGTGATTCAGCATATCATTAAAGATTTCACAAGTCCTTGTGTTCACGTCATGCTAAGACATAAATTCCCAGGCATGAATTCTGAAATCAAAGATTTATATAACAATTGAATTAAATAGTATAAGAGATAGCACCAAATAGCTGCTGATTAATACCCAAGTTAAATGTTATAAATGCTGTGAGTTGCTAAAGCCTAGCAATTTTCAAGAAAAACAATAATTGGCCTGAGCTATATTTAGTAAATGGTAGGATTTGGAGGACATTGGAGGGATAAAGACAAGAACAAAAGTCACTATTTAAGTATTTTCATATTCTTTGAAGTCATTCATTGCATCAGACTTGGCAAGAGCGGTCCTAGTCTGCTCTCACGGAGTCTCTTTCCAGGATCTTGGATCCATACTGCATTCATTGACTGAGAGGCCAGAGGTGGTACTAGCTGACTTCCTGAAACTTTGCCAAGGATGCTCACCTTAATTGTTCTAATTCATCACCCTATTTTCCTTATGTATATATCTCTGTCTTTTACCTTTAGCAACAGAACATTGAAATTTAACACATTTGTCTTTCAAAGTAGGAGGCTCTGGTTCTGAAATAGTGTGGCTATTTCTCTGGCCAAAATACTAATTCAGTATCTTTTCTTTTTCTTTCTTTTTCCTTTTTTTTTTTTTCTTAAAGTAGTATAGTTCTGTTCTTCTGGTCTGTTTCCCAAGTAATTGGTATAATATTGATAAATAGTGTAATTTTGGTGACAGACTATTAGAATTGTAAAATCATATGTATTTCATTCAGTCAATTAATGGGACCAAAAGAGGAGCTTACCATTGTTATTATCTTGTGAATTATGTACCTGTTAAAAATAATTACAAATAAGCATCAGTTGAGATTTATAGGTATTTACGTGCATATCATACAGTTCAGAAGATCTCTGTTTGAATTTCTTTTCTCAAGTTTCAATTATTTTGTAAATCTGTTTTGGGGAAAAAAAAAATCTTTACCTGAGATGATGATCTTGGGTCTTTGTTAAATATTTGTTAATTCCAGTTAAGAGTGAGAAATGTTTTGGAAAAAACTGTTTTCCTAAACGAATCAGTTTGTGGGTTGGTGAAAATGTCAGTAAATGGATTTTTAAAAAAAGAAGCAATAACAAGGGATTTTCTGTTTGGAATTTTAGCCAGCTTCATGTATTGCAGGTACCCCTCCCACACAAGCCAAACCAGCGTGCAGACCCAGTGACCGCAGGTCCACCCGGCCCACCCGGCCCAGGCCTGCCAGGGTCCCTCCTGAGCTGCTGGGGGGCTCTTCTCCACGGAAGACTCTTGATCCTGGGCTGGTCCCCTGCCCTTTGTCAGAGCTGGGTTGGGTTTCTGGTTCGTCTTCCTGTGGTGAGCCTGGGAACCAGAGGAAAACTATTCATGGTGACTTCCTTGAACCCCAGAGAGATCTTGGCAGGGAGGCCTGGGATATAGAAAGCTCACCAATGATGATGAAGAAAAAAAAGAAGAAACCAAAGCAGAAGAGGTATTCTCAACCCCGGGCTGGGGGACCTTGGGATGATGACAATGGAGACGAGCCTAAAGGTTGTTCCTTTGCCACGGACTCACAGAAGTCAGTTGTGCCCCCCAGCCAGCCCACCACTGGGGGCGCAGAACATGGACTAGTCTCCAGAGAAGACTTGAAAGGGGGATGTGAAACTGATCCCAGAGAAGCCAAGCTGGTAGCTGAGAGCTTTGTCTCAGACAGTCTAAGCATTCCTTCATGTCCTTTGGAAGAAGCCCCGAAAACTACGGTAAATTCTCAGCCCAAACAGAGAGTCGAGGCACAGATGAACGGTAACAAGTCAGCACCACAGGGCCAGGACAAGAAATTGCTGCAAGATGAGTGCAGACTGCAGGCTGCACCCCACCTCCAGACTCCCGTGGATGAAAGCCAGACAGTCGGCTCCCTCAGTCTGAAAGGACCCCTGACAGAAGTTTCTTCATACAAAGTAGAAATTCCTTTGGAGGTCAGACCCAAAGAGGGTTGCTCTCCCATCAGGAACCAAGAGGCTGTGGATGGAGTTTCAAAACCCAGTGCAGCCAAAGAACTGCCTACTTCCAAATCCACTTTGACAGCAGGTGATCCATTAGGAAGCAGTCTAAAAGAAGGGAATGATGAAAGTAAAATGACTGAATTGCAGAATGACAAACAGAAAGAGTTTTCTGAAGGAGCTGAAGAGGTTAAAGAACTAAAAAAGGAAAGTGTTGCCAAGCAAAGACATGAGAACAGCATCTCTGCTTCTGAGCAGCTGCATGACACAGTGTTAGCTCAGGCCCCTGGACTAGGGAATGAACCGTTTAAGAGAATGGCAGGTGATGGCAAAAGCAGGAAGGGAAGGACAAGTTCTGGGAAGGTGAGAGCAAGTTCTGGGAAGGTGAGAGCAAAGTCTGAGGCACCGTTCCTTGCAGACAGCCAGGACGGCAGAGCTGTCTTTGTGCCAAGTGGGAGGGTGGCTACTGGGGATAAGAGCGAGGAGCTGGGGCTGGATTTTTCAAAGCAGCTAGGGACTGTGACTCAGCTCACTGAAGCAACGGTGATGGGGGAACCTAAGGAGATGACAAACCCTAGGGTGGCAGGCACCTTGCAGGCATTGATTCCTTTGGGAAGCGGGTCAGGCATGATTCAGGCTTCCAATGCTAGAGCAGAAAGAGGCGCTGTAGCTGCAGACGTGGCGCTTGGCAGCCAGAGCAAGGAGGAAAAGTGTCCTTGGATGGGTCATGAGGCAACTCCTTGGATTTTTGAAAAGCCTAAAAAAAGAGGCAGTGAAGGCAAAACCAAAAAGTATAAAAATAATTATTCCACACAGCCTGCTAGAATGGAGAGGAAGGAAGAAATCCTTAACCCACCTTTTGTAAGGAAGGATGGGGTTACTGATAGTACTCCCCATCAAAACAAGGAAATAGAACCTACTGTCCCTTTGTTGTCACGTACATCAGATACACCCACAGTGGAAGTAGTTGACCAAAAGGGTAGAAATGTTGAGGTTAATTCTTTTGAACTTGGGGCTCTTGGCGGAAATAAAACAAACACAGGCAAGGATTCTCCTATTACTGAACTGGCTACCAAGATGACAGATGTGAGTTGCCAAGACCAAATCCAGGGGGCAGGATTTGTTCCTTCTGTCCTGTCTGAGGAGAATAAGACAGATGTGGCCAAAGGGCACACTGCAGTGGCTGACGAACCAAATAAAAGGAGTAATGATGGAAAAAGCACAAAGACTAAAAATAGTTTCCCTGAGACGCACACTCTGGAGAATAAGATAGATGCAACAAAAATACATGTTCCCATGGAAACCATAGGGGACCACAGAATTGAAGGAATGGGCTATGTGGACGAAAATAGCAATATTACATTTACCTGCCCCAGAACTCCACCAGGGTTGATGAATAAGTCAGTCCCCCTAGAGGCTCAGGAATCAGCAGCCTGTACAAAACCACCCACTTCTACTTCTCAAGTAGTAAAGGAAGGTGATTCATTTCCAGGCACCTTGACAGAAAGTAAGCAAGAGACAGTTCCAGCCCAGATTCCCAGATTATTAGATGTAGATAGTTACAGCAAAGATGGAGTCGCAAAGGAAGAAAGACCCAAGGGTCCCTCAGCTGTTATGCCCTCTATGAGCACAGGTGGAGTTGCCATAGAAACAGTTAACAGTCATTCTAACTGTCTTCAGAATAAAGGTGAGCTTGCTGGTGCCATGAAAAGTGAAGCAGGGAGAGATGGAGGGCACGTGCTAGGAGACTCTGAGTCCACGCCCAGTGGCGCATCAAAGCGCTCAGTAGAGAAGACCACAGAGCCAGCATTGGGGCAGCTTCTCTCTGGAGTGCCGATAAGCGAGCCCAGCCTGGCAGGTGAGGCCAGACACCTAGAAGCATGTGCAGATGGGAGTAATTTCCCAACACGTCCAGTGAACAGAGAGTCTGAGCAAGGTTCTGCTCCAGTTTCAATTCCTCACTTACTGGGAGACAAAGCACAAAAGCCCAGTTTCTATGAGGACCAAAGTACTGAAGGTAGAGATTCCAAGGGCCCAGATAATTTGAATAAGGAGGTAGATATGACTCTCTTGCCTCCAGAAAGTGAAAAAGATAAAAAGGATAAATTGGAAGAAATCAGTCTGGATTCTGACATCAGAGAAATGGCATATGTTTCCTTGGCACCACCAGAACTCCAGTCAGATGTCTTAGATGGCAAAATTGAAGTGACTTCTTCAACGATGATAGATGAGTTAGTAATAACTGC